TGAGGTTGAATCAGTCAAGACCGTGCACAACTTKTTTCTTACAGACGATGGAAATTGCAAAATGACTAAACATYAGCACCCTCTATGAGATTTTGAAATGAAATACTCCAACATTGGTTAAATTTTTATAAGAAACTGTTCGGGTCTCCAGCTCYGTTGAACCTGGAAAAACTATTRTACCTTKACTCATATTGGATTTTGTTTCASTGATAAGCTTAAGAACTTAAATGTAGAATGGCTTTCCTTCTGGGCAAGCATGGCCAGGACAGAGAGTTAATAAATCTTTRATTGTTTTGGAAAATCTGAGCTTTTGCTCGTTTACAGATTGTTAGTTAGAGCGGCCATCTTGGTTGAACTTCAACAAAGGATTTCTTATTAGTATCTATTGYTCATCCAACCAACATGGCCGCCGGTCTTTAGAATCCCATGGGAATAGTTGAAAACAAACAATAGGAATTATAGTATGATTTGGCCTCTTTTATGATAATGATGATTATGATGATAATTACAGACTCAGATACATCAACTTAGACAATTGACGATGATGATGATGATGATGATTATCAACATGATGTATGTGATTAATCCTTGAACTTTTATTACAAATGAAACGAGAAGAGAGATTTTTTTTTCTGACTTTCTAAAGTTCCTAGTGGTAATGAAGTTATAATCTTAGGCTCAACCACCAGCCTTTCTTTATGAGCTGGTTTGCTTGCATTGGCGTTAAAAACATTATAACTAGAGTTTCAATATTAATTTGACGGGAAAAGGTCGCATGCTCAGGACCACTAAAGATATGCATAAAGACCTTTTGGCACTGTTTTAATAATAACTATAATAATAATAATAATAATAATAATAATATATAATAATAACTTTCTCGATTCCTGGTTTTTCAGAAATCATTACACATGATAGATTAAAACTATACTTAGATAGAGTTTCTGATAAAGATAGTTTAATTTTTCAAAAATTTGTCCAGAAAAAGGCACTTAATTTCTGCTTTGMATTTTGTTAAAGAGTTGACTTCAGTTTCAATTTTTGTTTCAAAGGGCAATTGCTCKRTAGCGAGAGGAGATTGAGCAGTCACTGTCCTACACAGTGGCAAACTCTAGCTTCGCTAGACGAGAGRAATAGCTTGAATTCATTCATTTCACAGAAAATGTATTTTAACTCTTTTGGTAAATTTTGAGCTAAAAGAAAGAGTCCAAACATAAACTATAATATATCACAAGAATACTTTTACATATTTCTTTAAAAGCGAGGGATATTCAATTGAACCCGAGACATATTTTTTTTCTTAAAGATGTGGTTTTGTTATCACCATCACATTTCTTCGCCTGTCTCGTGTAATTTGACTTTGTCCACTAACATCTGGTTGAGAGTATAAATTTATGAAACCGTCTTCGTTAGTGCCGCAAACCCCTCATACTAATCAAAGAATGCCTAAAAAATCTCTCAACTTGAACTTCTTACAAGTACATTGTATGACAGAAACGACAGAACATCCTTGCTCGCATGTTATTTATGGCTGTATTAATATTTTTTTTTCTTGGAACGTCTTTTCACGTCTACATTTTTGCTAAGATCCAGAACGCTGAAAGATTTTGGGAGCAGGTTAAATGTTTGGGTTTTGTGGAGGTCCAAATTATTTATATTTTTGTGAGATTCGAGCGAATTTAACGGACACTTTTTACCTTCGAAYATATAAATCTTTCAGTTTGTTGCTCTATTCATTCAAAAAAGGCATTTTTCAGCGAATAAAAATTCTAACTAAGAAATATTTGTGTGAAAAGAGGCACCTTTTGTTATCAGAAATATCTAAGCTCACTTCAAAAATATCTGGAAGGAATTTCTTMAATTTGTGAAAATTATAGGTTTGTCTGCAATGTTTTCAAAGGTCGATTTTCCCAAGTACGGCGCCACAATCAGTMGTTTTCATTTAAAAACAGCACATTTTGGAAGTCACGGAGTCAAAATATCCCTAAAAATTTGGAAGAAAATTGCTTCCTAACCTCATTGACGCTTAAACTAAATTCTTAGAGGATACTATTGTTATTATTATGCTCAATATTAGTGAGATTTTCCACCCTCCAAACGGCAAATTGTGACTTAGAAATCTGCATTTTTTAAGCACATTTTTGTACACATTGAGCCAGCTGCAAGGGTAAAAAGTTAAGCTGTTTTCATTAAAATACAATAGCTAACCTCTCAGGCACAAGATGATCTATAAATCTACGCTATTAAGGTCGTACCTGCATTTTTGATCAGGGGTTAGACAACTGTATGTGTGAAAATCCAGAAGACCACGCTATGTTGCAACTCTGATCAAACATCCTTTAGTTTCTATTAATATTTCAACTCCTTGATTCTTGTTTGGCTTGGCACAATACAAAGTACTATTCCACATCAATAATAAATGGAGAGCTTTATATTTTTGACCCGTTCCTATGGAAACCCAGTGGGAAACTCCTATTGGATCTACGCAAATTAGATCGACGAAATACGCAGAGAGACGGATGTTGTAAGAAAAATGAAGAAATATTTTGGAAAATCGATTGTTTCTCTATAGTTTAATTATTTTATGAAGATAATATGTTGCTGGTTAATTTTGAAAGAGTTAACGACACAGAAATAGATGTGGTCTGTAAAATACAATTTTTAACTTTGTGCGAATATTCTAGAAAAAAGGAATAATAATTTTAAGATGATAAGATGTTATTGCGGTGTTTTGCGGAAGATAACGTTTTYCATGCGATTCGATATTGGAAATATCTGAGAACTTAAAAAAAAGGAAATAGAAAAATCCTAAAACCAAGCTAAAAACAGCTGAAACCAACTGTGACCAAAACGTGCTTTGTAAATGACCTTAGARTTCAAAACACCTTGTTGTGAGAACGTTTTTCAATGGAGAAACAATACGAAGATGTTCATTACTAAACAGAGCAAATCGATACCTCACCTTGAGAAATCCTCGTTTATCTTTTAATAAGCTACTTYTCCACTAAATCGCAAATGTGCTCTTTTGGTATTGCAATTTTTTTTTATTTGCATCAGACAGCGGGTGTGAGCTTAGCACAGTTAAATAGGAGCACCAAGAAAAAGATGATCGAAAAATGAATTAACGGCATTGATAAAAAAGAAAGGAGAAGATCAAATGGTTCGAAAACAAAGTAAAAGAGACAAGAAGAAAGAAAGAAAGCTGCAAAAAGATTAGTAAAGAAACACAATAACTTAGCAGGAAAAAAAGACATTTAATACTAGTGAACAAGAAGATATCAAGCTCCATACAAACGAAGAAYTATACTGGAAAATCGTATTGTTGTAAAACGGAAGAAGAGCAAGGGAAAGAAAGGCCGGAAAGGAACAACGCAGGTTGGAAGACATGGAATGATCGAAGCCAAAATGACAGCAAAAGATAGAGATGGTTGGAAAGAGGGGGTGAAGACCTTATTCGCCTATATGCTGATGTAAAACGTCATGCATCTTACCTCTTAATACAAAATGTTGATGAAGACGTGGATGTTTCCTACTTGGACTAGACTTCATCCTAATGGAAAATTCTGCGTTGAGCAATAAGTTATAAAGAAACGAAGAATTGAAGAGGATATGAAGTCAACGAAGAAGAATTAGTGGAAGAGAGGGCTAGAAAAGGGGGCTATAAGAAATTATAATCGTAATGTTTTATGATGAAATAATCGTCTGGCAATGATGAAATGGTGAAAAAGACAAAAGTAAGGTATACGATCCGAAAAGAAAACTTCTCCAAGTTAGCTGTTCTACTACATTTATCTAGCACACTGTGTTAATATGTGCATTGATAAATGTGGAAAAAGTGGAGCAGAAGAAGAAGAAGAAGAAGAAGAAGAAGAAGAAGAAAAAGGGCGAAGCAGACCCAAATTGGCTGTGTTAATATGTACGTTGATAAAATTGGAAAAAGTGGAGTAGAAGAAGAAGAAGAAAAAGAAGATGAAGAACATGACCTAAATTGAAAGTGGGAAAAGAAAGAGGCAAAAACAGAACATGATTAGCCTCTTGCGCAGGCAACACTTTATTTTGCCCTGGAAAAGTTGAAATAAGAGCGGAAATTAATAAGAGGACGAGGCTATAACATGGCTAGGGGATGAATAAGATGACGATCATAGAAATAAGGACAAGAAAGAGAAAGAACAGGACTAATGAAAATGACAGATAAGSCAAATTACTCAAAGCGGACCATTTGGCCGAGAAACAGCSTAAGAGAAAGGCTGCAGAGGGAGTTCAAGAGGTAAGCATTTGATAGGAAAGAAGTATGTTATGTTTATTGACCATTGAAGACAATCAAAGTATTATTCATATTAGCTAGATTAAGTGTATTGGGCTCCCTGTCTAGTGCTGTGTCTGTCATTGACGTTGCTCCCACAATTCCACAATTCAATCAAAGTCGCAATTTYACCGAGTCCACCTCGGYTTGCCTGTAATTACCATGTTTATACAAAAGAGGTTTGAGGGGGGTGGGGTTAGGGTGTTTTATTTACGACTACAATTATCTTCATCTAAAGGAAATTACGTTAGCCATTTTCAGAAATCAATTCATACTAAAGTAGATTTTTTTCTTGGTCTAATTTCTTGCTATTTGCTTTTTTGATTAATAGAAAAATAATAAAAAAAAAATTTAGTATGCTGTTGAAAACTGACATCAGAAATCCTAAAGATAAGAATTTTGAGAGTAGAATAATGCGGGTAGTTAGACTTTATATAAACCTAGGAAAGAAGTTTTGATTGAAATCGTTTCCACGAACGTAAATAATAGATCGACAGCAAAGTCTACAAATTGCGAATTTTTGATAATTTTGAAGAGCCACCGCTATATAACTATAAAAACTGCATTCTTAAGACTGTCTTTATGTAMAACATTAAGCTAGTTATATAAAAAATATACTACGAAGGATAGTTTTGTATATAAACAGAGTCTTGGGTTAAGTTAAGATGAAGTAAGAAAATATATGACACAAACGTACCGATAGGAGATTTCTCGTTGCAGAGTGTTCAATTTCCCGATGTATTCCCACTAGCGGCATCCCATTCAGAGAAATCTGAATGAAAGGTAGTTCTTCATCTCCTGAACTTCAATTGAATGAAATTTCTCGTAATATKTTKGAGTTTATCGTCGGTTTTTACTCGATTTGCGCTCTAGTCCTTCGCCTGCTAGTTCAATAAGATRGAGTCAATCTTGCTGTCATATGCCATCTGCTCGACGCAAAGCTCATGAAATATTCATGGCACAGAATTGGCGATAAGAGACCGGTAGAAACAAACAATTGAAAACTAACCATATCGAGCCATATTTGAACTATTATTCCAAATAGGATTTTTTATATATTTTGAAGAACGGAAKACTCGCCCACGTTGMGCTCAGTTGTTGTCAGAAACKACTCTTTTCACTTTCACTCGACTGAATATTTAAATCAAAAATTGTTTAGAATATATTTTTCGTTTATAAGCTACATCTTTGGTAAATGTTATATGTTTATGTTGAGTAATGTGTCGTTTATTTTTWTATTCGTGAGGTAAACAGGGCTTTTTTTGAACACATACTCTACTGGAGCGGCTGAAGAGGATGCTTGCAGGTTCATTGAGAGATTCGCATTGAAACGAGCGAAAAAAAACATCAAATTTACTGTACTCTATATCAAAAAAGTATATTTCCTTTATTATATGTACTGTTCAAGGCAACAGTTCGAGTAAATCCTAAAGAAAATATATTTGTATTCGTATATTTGCATTTAAACCAAATTTGGAAACTGTTCGCGTCARTACGTGGGATGATGCGTTTCAAGTTTTAAGAATTTTGATCATAAATTTTCACCTTTTCCAGCTGTCTGGGTTTTAACAAACCTAATCGAGATCAAATTAAGTTATTTCATAGAAAATCTAGCATTGTGGATTAAAAATRCACCTCTATCTCATAATATTTTAGGAATATATAGCTAATAGATTGTATTTTCCTCGAAATATTGTGTCAKCAGTATATTGTTTACAACTTTAAGACGCAACGCGTGGAAATACTTTTTTATGACGCAAATTCTTGTGTTGTTTTTTCGCTTTTTAGAGATAACAGTTCATATTCTTTTCATATTTGGCGATAAGTAACGAAGAAAGAATCAACACCGACTTTTTGTTCAAAAATATGAATACGTTATATTAAGCAAAAAATCTTTGTATTGTTCATGCTCACATAGAATGATGGTACGCACGCCTCGACGAAGATAAAATATTTTGATTGAAAATAGTCCTCTAAAACTGAAATTCCTATAAAACTAGTATACGTAATAGTACAAAATAATATGAAAAAATGATTTCTTTTAAACACTAACATTATGAAATAGTTATTTTATTGGACATTGGTAAGTACTACTGAATTATGCAAATTCCTTTGTTTTCTATTGTCTAAAAGTGATGTCGCAGTTCGCGACAAGAATACGGGAAGCTGTCCCGTGTAACATGGCACACGATCACAACTTTTAGCGATTTTTTGTTGCTTTATATAATTATATTATATATTATAATATACAGCCCTTTGCAAAAATTATGAGAATTGTCTAAATATCTAAATATCATAATATCCATATCCATATATTGTCCGGAACACGCGGGTTTGCTAGAATAATTCATTGTTGACATCGAGAAAATGTTCAGAACTACGGATAAGTCTGTCGCCAAAAAAAACTAAACTACAAAGACAAGGGACTAAGGGCATCGCGCGGGATTACCAATCATGCACTTGATATTATGATATTTAGATATTTCAACAATTCTCATAATTTTTGCAAAAGGCTGTAAAGTTTTATATATTAAAGAATCATAACCACCCGTCGTACCTTGCGCGTTCGCATTGTTGTATACATACGTTTAAATGCGTCAAGCATACAATAAATTATAGATTGATAGTACCTGTGAGGTACTTAGTTAAAGTTATTTCTGTCCAAACTGTAAGGACGGAAGACGATTGRCGCTCACTTTAAGAAATCCTACAAATCCGCCATTTTCTTGTCCACCTAAAATGGCGCTTCGGTTCGCAAGGTACGGTGGGTGGTTATGATTCTTTAAGTTTTTGAGCAACCATCAAAGACCAAGTTGCAAGTTGATCCTTGCAGTCCGCTCGTGTTAATTTTATGCGCGGCATAAGGTTGAAACCAACTTGAAAACGAGGCCTTTCCGCTTTTTTCCATTGAACGGAATCTGCAGCGTTCTTGGATATCGGATTCCAAATTTCTTGATTCTGTATTACAGAAAAATTTTCACAAGGATTCTCAATTCCACCGTATTGGATTCAAAATGCAAAACATCCTATTTTTTTTATATAAAATCCTGTATGTTAAAMAAATTTTGCGTTCATAGCTCACTCGTTTAACATGCCTTACGGAAAAACGAGAGTCTCCTTCACGGCTCCCTGCGCCATCTTGAAATGTAGCCATGCCTTTACATCGAAGCGAGACAACCGTTGAGAGAGCAATGATAGAAACCTTCTTTCACACCTACAGACAATTATTCACAGTTATCTATCATTTCGCGCTCAACGGTTGTCTCGCTTCGATTTAAAGGCCCTTTCAAGATGGCGCAGGGAATCGTGAAGGAGACTATTTACAGTACAAATTGTTGATTGGATAGTTGTTTTTGCGAGAGGTCTTGTTTCATAATGTTATATTGTAATTTAGCGCTATTTGTTTGGTACTCTTTCTTTCCTTTTCTGTTTGTACTCCTGTAGTAATAGTATTATAACGAAAACGAAAAATGGGCGCGTAARGGATGACGGTTAGAAATACCCCTTTCGATACATGCATCAACACTTTCGGAGAACAATGCGTCCGCCATCTTGAAAAGTGAGACCCGAATCACTATCTTGTGCCTTAGAACACATTTCGTAGTTGCTAAGTCAACAAATCTATCATTATATCGTATTATATTAGCTTGAAATTAGTTAAGAAGCTTTTAATTCCTTTAGGAGTTATAATATAGTGATTCAAATCCCACTTTTCAACATGGCGGACGCATTGTTCTTCGAAAGTACTGATGCATGTGTATACTTGTTATCGCTGTAATCTTCAAATTCCTCCGCTGAAATGCTTTGTTGTGTCTACAGCTTAAAAGCCTTGAAGATTACATCAAACTATTTTTTCTATTCTTAGACTGTCGGGGTCTACCTCTTGCAGTGAGCGAATATTTGAAACCATTTCAAAACAATAAGACGCTATCAGTGCCAATAGATGAATAGCAAATTGAATTCGCGCGCGATATCAATATAAGTTAAAATTCAAATTGATTTGACCTTGTTTGGTGAAACATGGACT